ATTTTCTTTAATTCATTTGTCAATACATTCCATAAAATATCGTCTCATATTAAATAGCATCATTGGTTCAAAAGAAACTGCTGCAGTATTTATTATAAGTCTTATACGTATAATAATAAGTAATTTTTTGAAATTTTCATGAATTAAATAATTATATTAATATCTCACCACAAGAATATGACTACCACGAACAATCCAACGTTCAGGAAAGTTGTTTTTAAACACTGTCTCACTCCACTTTCTCTGTAACGTAATGGTGTACCATCTTGTAGAAACCACATATTTCGCCTTAAGTTTGATGACAATTCTTTGAAAAAATCAATAAAATAATTTTATAAAAAATGTAAATAAATCTCGACATTTAATTTGCAAAGTAATTCGCATATCCGTAAAAAATAATTACCAAAGATTCCAAACCATAGGACATGCATTTTAAATATGAATTTTGAATGATATTTTATAGATATGCGAATTACCTTGCAATTTGGATGGTTAGATTTATTTAGATTTTTATAAAATGATTTTATTGATTTATTGGAAGAATTGTCATCAAACATAAGGCTAAATATTTGGTTTATGCAAGATGGTACACCAATACATTACAGAGAAGGGGGAGTGAGAGTATTTAAAAAAAACTTTCCTGAACGTTGGATTGTTCGTGATAGTCATATTCCTTGATTATGTGGTAAGATATTAATATAATTATTTAATTCATAAAAATAAAAAAAAGAATACCTAAGTTATACTTATAATAAGTACTGCAGCTGTTTCTTTAGAACCAATGATGCTATTTAATATGAGACAATATTTTATAGAATGTATTAACGAATGAATTAAAGAAAATGGTGGACATATCGAACACTTACTTTGACAAAAAATTTAATGTTATTTAGTTTAACAATTTTTTAATTTGGTTTGTAAATAAATTGTTTTGATTATGACTTTAATTTAATACAAAACGTAAAATGTTTGATGTAAAATCCAATTATTCTGTTATTTTATCGAATTCTATTATTAATTATCCTGCTGATATATTTTTTTATTTAATATTTCGTTAACTATTAACTTTATTAAAGGAATTTTATAACAAAATTTAGAAGTATTGATGTTTTTATCTATTTTTCTTTCATTGCCTGGAGTAATTGCGTTAAATCAGAATTATGCAGTTGATTTGTAAAATGCTATTATCTCGAAAACTGTTGAGTTTTGAAGTTATTAACAAGTATACCTTTTCTTTGTTAAAATAATGTATCTTTAATATTTTTTATCAAAAATACCGCTAACTTGAAGAACAAAAAAGTTAAGTGCAAATGTATGCCACGTATGTGGTATATGTGGCGCCCTCTATTGGCTATATCAAAGTATGCATCAAATTATAATTCCTAATATTAAATAGTACCCAGTTGTAAATTTTTATACATAAATGTGTACAAACATGAAAGTTATAGCGAAAAATAAAATTTTAAATTTCAACTTTAACACCCTGTATCTTTTTAAATATCAACATTTTATTAAAGCAAGTTGACTTTAATCGTAATATTTTAAAGCGTAGAATCTGCGGTTTCTTTTTGTACAATTACTTAAGGACCACCCTGTATAAGGTTCTTGAATTCCCAAAAAGAGCATAGAGCTTCAGTGAAAATGCGCCATCGGGTTCTATTTTGCGCTAAGGTCTTCACCTCATTCCAAGACCTTCCTTGATCTGTTATCTCGTTCATGATGGATCTTCTCCAAGTTTGTACTTCCTTGGGGATTCCACTCTAGGGCAATCTTTGAAATACTGGAATTATTTTTTCTGAGTGTGTGACCAATCCAACCCCACTTTCTGGAGTTTATTTGATGTTCTACACTTTTTTTTTCGGTCAGGTGTATTAGATCTTCGTTTCTGATGATGTTAGGCCAGAAAATACGAGTAGTAACCATTTACTGGTACTGGAAACTAGTAGTAAACATTTATTAATAAAGACCTGCAGTTTATCTGTAACGGTTTTTGTGACTTTCCAAGTGTCACATCCGTAGAACAGAACAGACATGAAAATTGACTGGAATATGCGGATCTTTGTCCTTGTAGTATACTCGCCATATCTTGAAACAGGGTTGAGCATGATGAATGCTTGTTGAGCTTTTCGTATCCTCATACGAATATTGTCCTCTGTACCTCCGCTTTCTGTTATGGCACTTCCAAGATACGTTTTACTAATATTGATTGTCAAATCTACTTTATTGGCTTCGGTGAAAAGTGTTTCCAATTGATCAGCCACATCTTGGAACCTTTGTCATAACAGACAGATCATCGGCGTATTCCAGATCGCTTAGGCGTGTGGTTAACGTCCATTGTATCTTTTTTGTGTCGGAGTCTAGTTTGGAGAGAACATAATCTACTGCTATGTTAAAAAAAACGGAGAAAGCACGCATCCCTGTCTGAGTTCAGTAAGTATGTCAAATTCGTCGCTGTTGATTCCATTATGTGTCACGCTGGAAATTTTATAATGAAAATTATTTTGTGCGGATTTCTTAGCTCTAAAATTTTCCATAAAACAGCATGAGGTAAGCTGTCAAAGGCACGCTCGAAATCAACAAAAATCATGTATAGGGGTGTGTTTCATTTAACCGATTGTTCCATTATTACCCTCTCAGTATTAATGTGGTCTATGCAGGAGGATTCTGGTCTAAAGCCTGCTTGGCCACCTCGACATTCAATCTTGTTTGTTAATCTTTTAAGTATGATGGTCGTGAGGATTTTATTTATTGCGGTAAGCAAGGTTATTACTTTCCAATTTTTGCACAGTGTAAGGTTGTTCCTTTTTGGAAGCTTAACAATGTTACTCCCCTTTTCCAGCCCGCTGGAATGCGGTTTGTTTCCCACAACTCGGATTATGGGGAGCAAAAGTTCAGCAGTTAGATGCGGATCAGTTTTAAGTATTTCGGCAGCAATGTTGTCGATTCCCGGAGACTTCTTATTTCTCAGAGATTTAATAGCTGTTATTATCTCCGTTTTGGAAGGGGCCCCGCAAGATATACGCAAGTTTTCTGCAGATTTTTGACAATTTTATATGCGTTTTCCCTGGGCGTGCTTAGCATCTCCTGAAAATGCTCTTTCCATCTCTCTACTTGGTCATTTGTTATAGTAAGTAATTCGTCTGTCTTGGATCTTACAATGTTTTACAGGGCCCATTTTTTGTTAGTCGTCTAGTAATTTGGTATAGCTTTCTAGTTCTGTTGTGTTGTGCAGTTGTTTCAAATCATTTTGTTAGTTCTTCAGTCCACCCTCTTTTGTATTTTCTTGAATTTCTTTTAACTGCTTTATTTATTGTTTCATATTCTTGTTGTTGATTCGCTCTTTCTTTTATAGTTCTTGCTTGCAAAATATCTTTCTTTTGCTGTTTTCTTTCCTCCATAATGTTCCAAGTTTCATCAGACATTCATTCTTTTCTATGTTTCTCTTTTTTACCCAGTTTATCTTCAGCTATTTGGTGTTTTCTGCTATTTTGCTATTTCTGTTGGTGTTTCGTGAGATTTTGTTTTTTGCCATCTTTAGGGCGAGCGCCCACCAAAGTGGCGTGGCAGTGGCAAGTAGCAAGTAGCACGCGTCTAGCATAATGTAACCAATCCTAACGAATGATTAGAATGAATGACGTTACTGTCATTTTGGTGTAAACTGAATCATTCGTTTTCATTGGTTACATCATGCTAGACGCGTGCTACTTGCTACTTGCCACTGGCGCGCCACTTTGGTGGGCGCTCGCCCTTAATTTTAATGGTATCTACAGATTACGAGATGATGATAATTTGCAATGTAATTTGTTTTATCAAGAAATCATGTCGGTAATCTGTAAGTCCGTCGATTCCCTCGGGAGAGAGGGACTCGGAACAACCAGGATTAACCGCTCTGTTCATTGTAGTAGACGACCGAAGAGCGTAGGTTCGGTCAGTGGCCATAGATCACGAGCTATGCCACTATTGTCTAGGAATAAAAGAAAAGTAACAGAGATACTTTATTGTTATTAAATAGGACAAAATACGAGATAAGTTGTAAGTATGAATAATTAAATCGCAAGTATGAATAATTAAATCGCAAGTATGAATAATTAAATCTTAATTTCTAAGAATCTCTAAGCAAAAATAGGTAATTATCTCCAGGTCATTGAACTGAAGAATCTGAAAGGCAATAATCAATTATTAACACGTATTTTATATGTAGAGTTCAAAATAATAAACATAGAGTAATCCAGCTGTCAAAATTTAAGGGTTGGAAAAAGTGGTGCAAAGGACCTGAAACCAGCTGGAATCCCTTCAGTATAATGCCATTCGGCCAAATCAACAATAAAAAGTAGGTGTAAGTACACTGTGGAAAAAGTTATAAGCAAATAACGAAAATTTATTTTCGTGAATTTTCTAAGTCGATACGTATAGGTATAAAACAGTAAAATAATACAAGTTATATCCTTGAAAGAAGAAAATAAGAATAATTCATAAATATCGACAAAGTTCAAATTGTTATACAAGTTTTAATAGTGTACCAAAAATGCATATAATATATTATCAACATAAAAGATGCAATCAATTGGCCAAGTTTTGCAGTGTACCTACTACATGTAAAACTCTCATAAGATTTACTAAAACTTCTTACCAATTTCGAACAGTGTACCTGAAAGAGAAACAATTTAATTCGTATATAAAAGATCGGCGGCTCTGAATGCAGAGTCCGAACGAGATATATGCGGGTGAAATATTAGGAAATAAAACACAAGTTATATCTTTATTCAATACTTCCATTTTAAAGGATATTTTGTTCGTTCAAAGACTAAGTCCTGTAAGGACATCAAGAAAAAATGATCTCCATCTTTTTGGTATGGCGATGTGGTGTATTTGATTTTCTCTTATATGTTCTGGTTCAGTCCATGTAATTTGTGGATAATTTTATGTGGGAAGATCGTTCCATATAATAAGTAAGCTATGACTGGAACAAAAAATTGTAAAACGCTCTCCGTTTTCATTCATCACTCCCAGGCCATGTTAATTACGGTTTCTAATTTGATATTATCTTCTCCAACTTTAGCGTTCATATCGCCCATCACTATTAGTATGTCGCCTTGGTTTACTTGTTGGGTTGTTTGTTCTAGTTGTTCGTAGAAAATATCTTTATCTTCGGGAGGAGATGTGTTTGTGGGAAGGTTCGTTGAGAACGATTTCCGATATGGAAATCGAAACGTCGACATAAACTTATTTTAAAGTAATCTTGTGGCTTCTAAACGGAAAATGGCACAATATAACTTTTGACGCTTGAGCTACTCCTTACGTACTGTCAAAATTTCACATCAATCAGCGTTATTCGATAGATTTGCGAGCCAAAATCGTCAAACGATGAACTGCTAATATTTAAGTTTCTAATAAAAAATATCGCTTTAATATAATATTTCTTTTCTGTTTATTTTTAAATAATAAAGAAACCGCAAAGTTTTTCTAAATATATGATCGATAAAAACCATATTTTTTCGAATAAACCATTAACAAATAATTTATTTAAAGTAAATTGATTTCAAAGCCGTTTTTTAAGATGATCTAATAAACGAAATATAAGTAAGCAGTCTAAAATAATCTGAAGAATAAGTATTGGTCTATTTATAAATACAATCACTTTGAAATGGTGTGATCTATATTTAAAAATATATTTATGATTCACTGAAATTAACAACTGCATGGATTGTATTTATGTACCGGACGTCCACTTACATTCTGATTATTCTCAAATAATTATAACCAAACCAAATACCTATTGTAAAAGGACAATTCGATGAGAAAAAAGGGAGAATTGATTTTTTTTTCTAATATACCCGGTTCGCTATTCCCAGTCCGAACTGTCTAGTGATTTTAGTAATTATTTTTTTCGAAGATAGTAACTTTTTACAGACTCGAAGTGGCTGGAAAATACTATACAACCAAGCATACGTGCTCATAGCCAATATTAATAATAAACAAACTAAATAGTAAATAAAATAGAACTTTGCGAATTACCGACAATCAATATTTATTTATCTGCACCATATAATAAATAGTTATGTTAAATTATAACAACTAAAATATATTTTTTAAACATATACTACCCAAAATTTAATAGGTTTAGTATGCACTTCCACTATTTAGAATAATTCTTCTTTTTTTCAAAGAAAGAAGTCAGCAATAGTAGTATACTTGAGCTATTAATACTGAGAAGTAGGAATTGTTGTGTTGTAGGTTTCCGACAATGAGTCTGTCAAAATATGCCCTAGCTAAGCGAATAGACAATACCTACTATTTACTCTAAATAGTTAATGTCAAAACAATTTCAGGTTCAATATCTATAGCAAATTAAAAGTTAGCAATTGAAATATCTCTCTTTCTATTTCAAAATATATTTCATAATCTTCATCAATATTGTTAACTATGTTTATAATTAGCGTAGGTGATAATACTGTACAGTACACAGTAAACTATATTATTATTATCTATTCGCTTAGCTAGGGCATATTTTGACAGACTCATTGTCGGAAACCTACAATACAACAATTCCTACTTCTCAGTATTAATAGCTCAAGTATACTACTATTGCAGACTTCTTTCTTTGAAAAAAAGAAGAATTATTCTAAATAGTGGAAGTGCATACTAAACCTATTAAATTTTGGGTAGTATATGTTTAAAAAATATATTTTAGTTGTTATAATTTAACATAACTATTTATTATATGGTGCAGATAAATAAATATTGATTGTCGGTAATTCGCAAAGTTAATAAGAATAGCGAACCGGGTATAAGAAGTTAACCAGTGTTACCAGTGGCTGGGCATGGAAGGATGCACCTCCCTGTCAAAAATTATGCGATTTTGTACAAAATTATGCGCTCTGTTGTAAAACGTAGAAATAATCCAGTGATATGTAAGAGAATATCTTACATATCTCTCTCATATCTCTAAAATAATCAAACCTTATTCTCATGTCCTTACTATTATCTGTCACGTCCTGTCAGTTGTCATTGTAAAGGCCGTATGACACTATGCATTTGTATCATTTCTTATGTCGTTTCTGATATACGAAGTTATTTATGTTTTCTTGTATATAAAATGTTCTTCGATAAAGTAATTTTTATTTGCTAAAGATAATGCTGCGTCACAGAAGAAATAACAAATTGTTGGTTGAGTTTACCGAAAGTACAAGCTGATTATAGCCACAAATGTCAAACATGGAACAAAAACTTTCACTATAGCAGTGTTGGCATGTTTTTGTACTGTAGATGCTGTATACTTCAAATATAAAAAGATAAAGCTTTAGAAAAGTACATTTTGTTTATAATATGTTATGAATTCTGCAATCTTTGATTTATATAAAACAACAATGATAAATATTTGTTTCGTTTGAGATTTATTGCGGTTGATAATTAGAAATTTTTTTAGCAATTACCCTTTGATAGATTAGGGGGTAGATTTGGCAATCGTCAAATCAGCAGTTGCCAGATTACAAAACAAATTGCAATTAATCTCGAAAGAGACAAATATCTACTCGTTATTGCTTCATGTAAATTAAAAATTGCAGACATCATTAAATGGTATAATCAAAATGTACTTTTTAAAAGCTTTATCTCTTTATATTTGAAGCATACAACATGACTTATAAAAACATGCCAACACTGCCAAACCGAAATATTTTTGACATTTGCGAGTATATTCAGCTTGTACTTTCGGTAGACTCAACCCAATTGTTTATTATTTTGTGGCTATGTAAAATGTCAGCACAAACGTTTTGTTTTAAAAGGAAAACGAAGACGAGGACTCTTATTATAAACTGTGATAAGTTAACTTAGAACACCGATACACTATGTGTTGGCACCGTTGCCAGTTCTGGTAAATTATCCAACTCTCCACTACAATTAAAAAACTTGCAAAACAAGTTAGGAGGGAAGTTGGGAACAAAGCCAAATAATTTGAAGACAAACACATCAGAAATCGCGAAAAAAGTTTATTGGCTAAATTCAAAGTAATTAACATGGAAGATAAATTTTTCCAACAATCCAAGATAAATTTTTCCAACAATCCAACAACAAGATAGTGTGGGGCTATCAAACACACCTCTATGTAGAAAGTGTGAACGAGAAGACGAAACTGTAGAGCATGCCCTACGCTACGAACGCTTTCGGTGAGTCCTGGTCCACACCTGCCCACATAAGAGAGATGTCTCCTGGTGACTTGTCTACCTTCCTAGAAATAGCAGGATGGACAATGAGCTAAGGACGACAGCTCCCTGGGAGAATACACAATGAGTTAATACTGCTTACTCTACAGATACAGACTTTTAAATTCATTATGAGACACTCTGTAGTACAATGTGGCATGCCAAATTTAGCACAATGGAAACACGTTAATTCTGTAGTCACGTGCAAAGAATAAAGATATTACAGTGATAAATCGGTATTACCATATCGAAAGATCTTAGAAAAAGACGAACAATAAGAATAAAAAAAGTATAAAAAAATCACCCACCCATTTATTGCTTCAAATAAGTGAATCATCAGGACATGGAGAAATAAAGTGTTGATTTATTTTGTAAATTTAACTTATACTAATAATACTAATTTTATAAACGAACGGAAAAAATTATTTCATAAATAGTAGGTACACTGTGGAACAAGAAAGACCTGCTTCCATGATAAAACAATTAATTTGCAAGCAATTGCGATTTTTGCGAAAAAGGTAACTGACATCTAAATGGAAAACTTATAAATAACTGCAAGAATTGCAGCTGGACATGCCGTGAAATAACTGTAAATATTTTTAAACGCGTCTGCTTGATATTTATGAAGAACATTCACCGAACACATTCGTTCACGATTTGTAATAAGTAATTGGATTTTGTGCCCTGTCCAAATCTACGTCAAAATATCATGAAAAATAACGACTAAATATAGGTCGGGATCAAGCCTAATGAGCCGATATTTGTTTCGAATGGATTAAGAAATGTTGATTTACCTTTTGAATTATTTCAGGAGATTTTAAATCGTCTGAAATAATCCGTTTTGGATTGTGTCTGGATCCGTGGGCTGAGAGAGATCACAGTTGTCGGTTGAATATTATTCAGGATCATTATTCTAGATAAACAATAATAAATAAGTAAATAAAAATAAATATATTTAGAATACGTTTTTATTATTTTAACGATTTCGCAAAAAATGGATATTTTTCAATGAAAAACTGCAAATAAAATATTCATTTATGCTACAGTGGCGGCTGGTGTGGTAAAATTTTGGGTAGACCAAGCCAGCAAATTACATCGTAAATTTAGCGCCATATTCTGTGAATCTTTTATTATCGCCCTATTCCAGTTATTGAAACTTTTTGTAATCCGAGAATTCTAGAAGCATTCACTATGAGTGATATGGGGATGGCTACAGATTATGCGCACATTGCTTGAGGAAAAAGGAGGTGAGTCCGTCTATTCTATCCTAATTCACAGAAAATTCAATTCAACAATTTAATACATTTATACATTATATAAATAATATGAGTTACAAATAGATGTCCAGTTTTTTTATACATTCTATTGACTCTTCGGTTACCATTAATAAGTATTTAGGGCCGCCTGCGTATGCTTTGCATGGGCAACCTTCTACTACGTGTTTGATCGTCTGTCTGACAGCACTACAAGTACAAAAAGCTAAGGAAATTTACCACATCTGTAGAGGAAGTCAGCGCATCTTCCTCAGTCTCTTCTGATTCAATTTAAGATTGCCTAAGTCTTGCAAGGATGTTAAAATCTGTCAGGTTAGGATGGTTACCTTTGCAGCGCTCTTATTACCGCACCCACACATTTCTCGTAATTTTTGCTGGTTGATGGGATCCAGCTCAATGAGTGGTCTAGTTGTTCAGAGAACTTCCCCCAGTTCGCTTTTCTAAGAGTCCACCTACGTCAAGGGTGTGATCGGATTATTGGGATTGATATGCCGATGGTGATAAGTACAGGACTGTTATGTTATGTGAATCTACCTTAAAATTTGTAAACCTACCTTAACATGAGTGACAGGTGAAGGGGATGGACAGCGGATAGCAAGGGGAAAAAGATAAAAGATATTAAAAAGAAACTGGTCGTCAATATTATTAAAAGCCCACAGAGACAACGTAACAAGGACGATGTTGAGTATGTACATAATTAAAAGTTAACATACATTTCTGACTGAAAACTGCTTTTAAGTTACCAATCAGAAGGTTATAATTATTTAATTTAGAGGAAATGCTTTGGCACTGAAATTTCCAAGAAAGGTACCAAGTTCTAGCCTCAAAGGTTAAACAGTTTCTTTCTTTCAATAGTTTGTTCGTTGGAACGAATATTCATGACAAGATTATACTTATTTTGTAAATAATAAAACACAACAGAATTAGTTTTTAAATGTTTTTTTTTTCATTTATAAATTATTTCCTTGTAAATGTAGGTGACGTTTCTTCTAAAATATTTTTTATTGTTAAAGGAATATCGTACAATACACTGCATTGCATTAGTTTTGAACTTTTGGGACCTAAAAAGTATGTAATTAGTATTGCATAGAGACATTTAAGATAGAATGGGTTAGTATGAATAAAGAAATATAAAAAATATATATTTGTCGGCCGACTCAGATCAATTTCGTTTATTCTGTCATTGGTGCACCTATATTTGCTAAGTGTTAAATTAAGTTTAAAATGAATAAAGGGTTGATAGGTTGCGAAAGGATCTGGTTTATAATAGAAGAATTATACGTGCACAAAAATAGATGAAATTGTTAGTCGGCAACAATAACAAAAATAAAAAATAAAAAAACAGTAAAGTTACTTCCTGAAAAGGAAAGAATGTGGTACGAAATGCGAAGAATAAAAATTATCATAAGTAGCACACTAAAGACAATTTAAAGAAATTTGGCTAAAGCGGCAACATTGCAAGAAATATTGAAGAGTCAATAAAGTCCACTCTCTCTCTCACCCCTCGATGTCAGACAGCATTAGAACGAGAACAAGAACGAAGTTGCGGTGATCGACACACCATAAATATTTTATGTTTTATGTAAAGAAAATAAATATAATTTACCTGTATCACTTTTTTCTAAATAACAAGTGAAGAAGAAATTCTATATCAGCTCCCGACAAAATGGTCCTTCGAGCCGGATTGGAAAAAGTGATAATTAATAATTATAACGAGTGACTACCCACATTTGTAACCTATGTTTATTTCTTTGTGTAGCTGCCGATACATGCTCTCGGTATGTGGAAAAATACTATGTATTGAGATTTATCGTTATGCTTATTTACATTACCTAGTTGGTTAAAATAATAAAGTTGTTTACGTACTTACTTGTTTGCAATACTTTCCACAGACCGAGAGCATGCATCGACAACGACACAAAGAAATAAATATAGGTTAGGAATGAGTACGAGTGTACTCACTAGTTATAAATATTACTTATCACTTTTCCTAATCCGGCGCGAAGGACAATTGTGTCGATTACGAGCTGATTTAGAATTTCTTCTTTTTTTGTTATTTAGAAAAAAAGTGATACATTTGAACTTATATTTATTTTCTTTACATAAAACGTAAAATATTTATGGTGTGTCGACCGCTGCAACTTCGTTATAATGCTGTCTGACATCGGGGGTAAGAAGAGAGTAGACTGTACTGACTCTTCGATATTTCTTGCAATGTTGCCGCTGTAGCCAAATTTCTTTAGATTGTCATTCACGCAACAACACATAGATCGATGTGTCTGTATCCATGAAGTAATAATTTTAATAACAAACAACAAAATAACAAAAGGTAAATTAAAAGCCTAACACAAATGGCGCTAATAAAAGTATTAAAGTTTACCTTTTGCGAATACTGGTAGTACCATGATATCACTAAATTTCTTGGCGTCTTCTTTAATCTCAACAACTCCGTTGCTTGATCTTCCAATTTCTGGACAAGCTGTAGTCAATACAATAAGTGTATTTTGTTCATTCGTGGTCTCAGTTATATGTTTTATACTTTGAATTAAAGGGCTACGAGTGTCGCTTATTTCATCCAGATGGCTTCCGAATATAACCATCAAGAATCCATCACAAGGAGCTTCTTGCAATGCATTTAGAGCATTACTTACTGCGTTAAATAAATCAAAATTATATTTGGGTTTATTAAGACTTGGTAGTATGTTATTTTCTTCTTTAGTCAGTTTCTCTTTCTCTAAAATATGTACGTTAAACTATTATGTGTCTGTTCTAAAAAAAGTACAAAGTATTAAGATATTTGAGAACTACAATAATGAGCAGTTCACCTAACGATTAAAAACAAGTATGAAACTATTTTTAATTTTTCTTCATTATCCAGTTAACTAGTGGAGATATTTGACATTTTTTTTATTAAACACCTTAGCACAGCTTAGGTTTTTAATGAAAAAAATGTATTTCCAAATCAAGTATAGTGTCTTTATAAAGTTTTTCACAATTGGCACAACTTGTTATACATTCTTCACAGTCCATTGTAGCTAATCGTGTGTTTTAGAGTTTAGATGTAATTTTCTTTTGTATTTTAAGAATTTTATTTTCTAAAATTTCATTTATATTATTTGAATGCTATGCTGGAACAAGGTTATAACCGAAATACTTTCATAGGTGGGTTTTCCATGAAACAACGTTCTATATGTGCAAAATAATGTACTGCTGACTGTGGGAAATAATATGAGACTTAACTTGTCTGTTTTGGCAGTCTTCATCTTCAATATTTTAGGCCAAGATCACAGTGTTGTCCGCTTATCTAATGTTGTTAATGGGAACTCCATTTACCTTATTCCAGCTGTTTAACCCTCAAGAGGTTTTTTTAGGATCTCTTCGGAGTAGGCATTAAAAAGAATTGGCGACAATACGCATTACTGTCTCACTCCACCTCTAATTTCAATTCCTTCTAACAGCTGATTGACAGTATTGGAGATTAATTGAATGTGATAGGGTCATTTTAATTTAAACATATAAAACAAAATATATAGCGTTCTGATACATTTAACGAGCATTGTAATAATATATCAAAAGCTTTTAGACTTACCGTCATTAAAAATATCACCAAAGAACGAAAACCTTACATGTGACATGATATCCAAAACATCCCAATTATATTTTTCTGCCTTATTATTCGTTGGAGATTCAAGAAAATTATCTGAATCGTCTTTATATTCACTTATATTCCTCTTTACCCGTATATTAAATACTTCGGTATGTTCTGGAGTTGATATAATAGCGTTGGGGTTCATATTGTTCATTTTAATAACAGATGGTATGGTGTCTTGCTTTTGTTTTCTTTTTCCATTTTTAACCTTCTTATGTTTTGGTGACATATTTTTGCTTTGCCGTTGTACGATGTGGTCCGAAGGATGAAAATTATTTAGATTAGTATGTTCAGATACGTTATCATCGCTTACCGACAAAGTTACTAAAAAAATATAAAAAATAAATATAATGGATAATTGGGTTTCGGTATCTTTTTCTTCTCAAGAACTGAAAAATACTGAAATTGTTGCCTGATGGCTATCGAATATCAAAGTGTATAATGGCATTTGAAATGTGGGTCTACCGTAGAATGTTGCGCATATTATGGACCGCCCATTGTACAAATTACTCAATTCTAGCAGAACTTAACATAAAAACTAGACTCATCACAACTATCAACCAAAATATACTGAGATATTTTGGATATATCACTAGAAGAAGAGAAGACATGATAGTGATAGGAGCTAATGATAGTTGAAGGTAATTGAGCGAGTAAAAGATCCAGAGGAAGATCTCCAGTACGATGGTCGGACCAAATAAAGCAAATGACTGGTTCCTCATTCTCCGAAGCAAAACAACACGCACAGGAGAGAGATAATTGGACAGAAATAGTCAATCAAATTACAGGACGCCACTACATCCTTGCGAAGGAGAAAATATTGAGGAGGAAGGCTATCGAAGAACCGTCTATGACCAACATATATTTTTACCGGAGATCTATTTACAATATTAGCTTTTTTAGTTGTGTTCGTCGTAGATAAAATACAACATGCAGCTCGTTACGGTTTCCACACGTGTTACAGTTTTAAATCGTTCAACAGTAAAATATGTCGATCGGTCGATCGCTTCGTTCATTAGCTACGAAAAAGAAGTACAATTGACAGTTGACAGACGAAAAGAATTGACAGTTGGCATTAGGTAAAAAAAGAATAAGAATTGACAGCCGAAAAATGGTTCTGGTCTTGGCTAAGGTACATGCTCGGCCGGTAATGCAGACTCAACGATAACCGACGTTGAATGGACTTTGACTGTCACTCAAGTGCACCATACTCTGCTAAATGACCTATTTATAAAAGTAGTTTATACATAAAAACAGGTTATTTTCATGAACAAAAATAAACAAGAAGAATATAGATTGTCTGGAACGTCTTTGTGCATGTATAATATTATTCATTAACTTTTTGTGTCACAGCACTAAATTCACGAAATTAGGCCACTTGTCCGCTTAATTATCTACAAGAATTGGAAGCTATTTATTTAATACAAACACACTAAGCCAAACAAAAAAGGGTTTTAAAGAAAAGTTTGAAGTTTAGTCTAAAGTCAAGGATTTCTTGAGGTTCTTAGAGGTAGATTCGACTTTTACCAAAAGATACACTACCAAATGAAAAATAATTCAAAAACTTATATTGAGCAATATTCAGCAAGAGCTTAACCAACTGGAAATCGGTGAGAGTTAATTTAATAACAATACCAAAAATTGTTCCACTAAAGTGCATAGTTACGTCACATAATGATACCTCATGCAACCAAAACTATTAGTAAGGAAGTTACAATTAGTAAATATGTTAAGGTCTTTATTCCATACCGCCATGTTTCATTTTGCTTTGTCATTGTATTCTATTCCCTAAATCTTCTCATTGATACCTCGCTTGTCGCAATTGAACCAATAGGAGCGAAGATAAATTTGATTTTTCTATGATATTGTATTCTATTTACCAAATTCTATCACTTGACATATTGCACAATTATGTACATTCAGCCGTTTGGTTGCTATTAATTTAAGGCCTCTTTGAAAATACGTAGTAAAGGTATAGCCAGTAAAGCATTTAATATACCTTACAACAACGGATCATTTAATATTCTTTCTCTGCTTTTTTAAATACCTATTCTCGACAACTAATATCAATTATCCACATAGCTCAGCTGAAAGAGATAAATAACAACTTCGAAACTATAAAGGTTATAGAGAAAATAATAAGTTTCAACGGGTATAGCCTCAAAAGTAGGAAAATGTCTATGTTACGGGTAAAACTCAAAATTGGGTAAAACTAGTTTTACCCGTATAATGTATTTGGGTCAGGATTATTGGCAGCTTTTTGAAATTAATTCTCCTGTTTATTATATTACTAAAGACATATCAACGCTATGAGTAGTAGAAGGGTATACACTTGAAGGCACTTTGACCTTTGACCTCTGACGTCACAATCCCCGTCTACATTTATCTCCACTCCACGCTCAAGCTGCTCCGGTCTTGGACAGGTCTTGATCAGATCTAGAACAGTTCTTGAACAGCTTTAACAAATTTAAAGCAGTTGGCTTGACCGAAGCGGCTTGAGCGTGGAGTGGGGACGAATGTAGACGGGGCTTGTGACGTCGGGGGTCAAAGGTCAAAGTGTCTTTAAGGGCATACCCTTCTAGTGCTATATTATACAAGCTAGGAAAAGAGTGTATCGTAATAAATATTATTACCAGTTTTCATTCCAAGAGCATTTTTACAATATCTGGCAAGCAAGTCCACACTTTCTTTAAGAAGTTCTTTACAGTTTTCAGTATTTCTTCGATGTATATAGTTCCCAGCTGTTTTCAAAATAGTATTGTGCTGAAATATTAAACATTATTTCAAGTTAAAAATTCTTCAAAGATTATAAAATAAATGATAATAAATGCTCCCTGGTACGTGTCCAATGAATTTATAAGAAGAGACTTTAAAGTTCTCACTAGAAGGAAGAAAGGAGAAACGTGCTTGTGAGTTAAGTGTTCGACTTTAGTGGTGAAGTGCGTAGACTAAAGCGGTATAAACAGACTTAAGGAATGGATTTAAAGATAAGACTTAAATAGATATTAAGTGATCTTTAAACATTAATAGAATCTATGTTTGGATATTATTAAATGTTTAGTTAAAGGATAACTTTATTGGAAGTTTTTACATAACCGTTATGTAATAGACATCATCATCAACCTGCACGCCTTCACTACTGAACATAAATCTTCTTCAGCTCTTTCCATCTGTCTTTGTTTTGCGCGGCTTACATCCAGTTACTGCTATTACGCTTCAGGTAGTCAGCCCATCTGGTTATTGGGCGTCCTTTGCTCTTGTCTTGGTCTCCACTCGATAATACCTTTTGCCATCGGTTGTCTGATAACCTGGAGACGTGTCCTGCCAAATACTATTTTAGAGACGCGATTTTTTTGATAGTAGTGTTGTTTTTGTTCTACGCGTAAATAAGTGGAGTTAAAAAGGGTCTATGTTTGATATCTAATAAAAACAAGTAATATAAAAGTCCAGCATAACGAATAGAACTTACCTTAACTCTGGCGACTTCATGCATGTCCAGAAAGCTTATGCCAGCGTGAGAACTTGGTAGAGCAGCAGCCTCAGTAAAAAATATGACTACATTCATCTTCTCTGTAGGCTTTTCAGCGATACTGTAACCTGTAAATGCATATTCATAATAATTTACCTTTTATTTTGATTCTTTTTACTACCCTCGTCTTTTTGTTATTAAACAACGATTACTCTATATGTATCCTCCATCGAGTTCATTTCTTAGTGAAAAATATGGGCAAGAAGCTTGGTCTTCTGTCTTTCTGTAATTAATTTGTGCGATTTTCGTCACTGATTGCCTAGTCAGTCACAACGATACATGAAGGTACTGAAACCACCTGAAACCTTACAATAACCTGTTGAGTACCAACAACAAAAAAATGACTGATCAGTTTTTTGTAGTTCATTTTACAGATTTTGGTATCTATATTTGCTGTCCTTCTTTCCTTGTTTTGTACTTTTATAACTTTATATTTCTCTAGAGGTTACTCCTATCAACGTAGTGTAATAATATTAATATTAATAATAATTACTTACCCATGGATATAATATAAATAAAAATTGATAAAATATTCATTTTTGACAATTATTATCAAAACTTTATTGATTAAGTGTATTTGCCACTTGTCATAACGACATTCAGGCTCATATAGGGAGTAATCATGAAGTGTATAAAATAAGGTCTATAAAATTGGTCATGGGTATCTGTCAAATCGCCATATTAGTGACGTCAGTGTTCAAATTTTTGTTATAAATGTTTTAGTGTAGTTTTACCATTTATAAAAGAACAGCGTTTTTTAAATTATTCTTACTTTTGAGCTTCTTTAAAGTATGGAGTTCTTTTCATCTCTATTTTTTCACTTACTCCATTGTCGAATCAGAAGTAATATCTGTCAGCCTTTATGTTTATCATTGCGAGTTATGTTTTTGATATTTTTTACTAATTAAGTAATTTTTTTCAGCAGTCTTTAACACCAAATCGTCGATGTTTTTTACTAATCACGTTATTTTTTTTTTCAGCCTTCTCCAGCACCCAACCGATGCGCCTCACCATCAGACGGGCCCTATTTCCGAGGCATCCAACCCTATTCCCCTGACCACTTCCGAGGCATTCAACCATACTCTCCTGAGCACTTCAGAAGTGCTCCCCAATCCTACACACCCAATACCGAATCGCCCTCGTTCGGTCCCCCAAGTCGAGATTTCGAGTACGTAGGGGTTCCTTTGGAACCGCCTCCTTTACCGCATAACTATGACCCCGACGAGGAGGAGGATACAGGACCTACCACTGCTGAGATTATTGCTAACCAATCGCAGGATTACATAGATGAAAAGTTGGCGGAGTATCAGGCTACGATTTATTTGTTACAAGGTAAGTGATTCCTTTACTTTACAAAAATTGATTACGGTGTGATGGCGGAATGGGCTTATAATAGGTTAATTATAACATAGGAATATTAAGAAAATAATAAAATGATTTAAAATCAATCAATCAATCAATCAATATTCTTTATTTCATCTGACGTTTACAAGTATTGAAATGCGTCAAAATACAATCTAAAAAACTATAGGTACATAGGTAGTAAAAAAAGTTAAAACTATAAGCACATAAAATATACCCAAAACATACAAATTGTTAAAAAGATGCCTGCAAGTATTCCTCTGACGAGTAGAAAGTGTTTGCCAGAAGTAAGTCCTTAACTGTTCTCTTAAATACATCAATATTTGTCTCTTTAACGTAATTAGGTAATTTATTATACAAAACTAACGCATGTTGGGTAAGGACCCTTGCCACAACAGTCAAATGACGAGCAGGGGTCACCAAATCCTTTCTGTAACGAAAATTGTAGCCCACTCATTAAGGAAACATCATTTCTGCAAATAAAATTACATCTATGTGACTTTACATAAACAACACAACTGAAAATATACAGAGAAAATTAGAGTTAAAATATTTAATTGTTTAAAAACTGGTCTACAGGAATCCAAGCGCCTTCTAAACATTTTTTTTTTGAAGGACAAGCACCTCATTAATTCGCGAGCAATTTCCCCAACAAACTAAGCAATATTGCAAAATTGACTGTACATGAGCAAAATAGTAAAGTTTCAAGATATCTAGGGAGACTAAATTCCTAAGTTGCCTTAGAACATAACAGTGTACAGACAATCTTCCCACTGCAGAGTCAACGTGAAAACTCCAAGACAAATTAGAATCCAGGTAAACACCTAACAACTTAGTGGAGTGGCTATTTACCACAGACCCATTGTCAAACTTTACTAATGGACTCATCTGCATAGTAGAAGGTGAAAAGGTTACCATATTGGTCTTTGATCCATTTAAGATTAGGGCATTATTTAAACAGTAATGAGTCATACTTTTTACAAGACAGTTTGCTTTTTTGTACCACATGAAAAAAATTATTGGAATTTAGTGCAACTGTGGTATCGTCAGCAATTGAGTGACGTAACAGCCTGATTGCTGTTCCAACTTTTCTCCTCGAACGCTTATTGCATCAGAAAAATTATCTAATGGATTCCGAACCAAACATGTTGAGCTATCGTTTATCAGTTGATTTAAATCATTGACGAAAATCAAAAATAAATGAGGCCAATGATACTTCCCTGAGGAAGTCCGGAGAGGACACTTTCTTTCGAAGAAAATATTATATTCCCATTCACATTGACCTTAATTTTTTGAAACATTTTCGATAAAAAGGTTTGCATCCACTTTAACGCAGTTCCTCTAGGCTCTAACACCACTATGATAAAGTTTTTCCAGCAGTATTGGATGATTTACAGTTTCAAAAGCTCGAGCTAAGTCAAAAAAACAAACAGATAACTTTATTACCCTTATCAAAGTTCGATAAAATATGATTTCACAGCGCTAGTAGTGCATCTTACACACTTAGGACCTTCACGGAAACCAAATTGAGACTTTTCTATAATGTGGTGCCTTTTAATATACGAGAGGAGACGTGTATGAAATGCCTTTTCATATATTTTTGAAAACACAGATAAAAGTGATAGGCCTCGATAGTTATCAAATTTTGGATTTGTCACCTTTTTTATGTATAGGCACAACTAGAGCAGTATTTAGAATTTAAGGAAAAATCCCTTCCTAAAATGAAAGGTTTACTAGAAATGTTAATTGTTTATATATGTTATGAGATACATGTAATAACATAGAATACGGAATCTCATCCAGTCCAGCAGAGGTTTTTTTTGAGATATCTTTAATTATACCCTTTATTTCTTCATCACTAACAGGATAAAGGAAAAGGAAGTGTATAGGCGAAGAAAGATTCTTAGGATTATAATCAGGTGAAGTTTGACTAATTAAATTTTTTACGGAATTCGAAAAATGTTGACTAAAAGATTCAGCTATATCACGAGGGTCATCCACAGAAATTCCCAAATTATTTTTAAATTTACTTGGGTATTTAGAAGAGTTTCGATTTTTACCTCCGACAGTGTTTCGATTTATGATGCGACAAGCCTCAGCCGTACTATTCTGCGCATTTATCATTTTATTATTAAAATAAGTTTGCTTGGCTAACTTAACTTTGTATTCATGATATTTTTTAGAATGTTATACCGTATTCTGAGCTCAGGATTTTCTGAATATTTTATAGATCTGAATGATATGAATAAAAAAATATATAATAGAAAACCAAGTCTAATAGTATGTTCTTACGAGTGAGTAATCATATCAAGAACCTGGTCAACTTTGGAGCGCTGTAAACCACAGAAAAATTAATGAAATTATACAAATTTATAGTGAAAATAATTCGTTGCAAAACCTTAAAAACCCTTGAAATAAATTTGTAGATAATTTAATTTGCTACAAATAATATCTGATAAAATATTCTGTGGGGTTGCTAGTTTACAAGAAACAGCGCGACAACCTTTTGCACCCCTTTTTCCTAGATGGCGAGTATTCAAGAATACGGTCAATTTTAAAGCGCTGTAAAAGAAATTATTGAAATTAAATAAATTTGTAGTGAAAATTCTTCTATGAAAAATTCTCTATGATATTGTTGTGATGTCGTTTTATTGTAAAATTGTCAGAAAAAAGTTAAGATGCCCAATTCCTTTTCCATCTCCTATTGATTCCGTCTTTTCTCTCTGTAAAGTAACTAAACTCTTTCAAGCTTCTTGAATTGTGGAGAATTCTTCTTTTTAAATGTATATCAAAACTTTTATGATAGTAGGTAATAGAATAAGATTTACTTTTATTTACAATTTAACAAACGGGATATACAGTATTGTGCGAATTAATGAAATCATAGTCTGTTTTAATGAAAAAACAGTTTATTTAGTAAAAAATTATATTTTGACAAAACTATAAAGGTAAAATTACATCATTCAGTAGGAAATATGTCCCCCTTTGGCAGCAATTACTGCTTTTACCTTAGATTAGTTTTAAATTTTCAATGGGGTTGAGGTCGGGCAAATTACCGGGCCAATCTAAAACATTAATCGTCTTATTTTTGAAAAATGCCATCATTTCCTTTGATTTGTGACAGGAAGCAGAGTCCTGTTGAAGAATCGCTCCTCCTTGGGGTTGACATTTCTGGAGTTGTTTGTCTAAACACTTTTCCAACATGGATTTGTATTTTTGGCTGTTCATCATGCCTTCAATTGGCACCAAAGATCCAACCCCCATGTATGAAAAACATCCCCAAAACATTTTCTTGACTGGATGTTTTACGGTTTGATCAATATGCGATGGTGTAAGCTTTTCATTGTCAGACTTCCTGACGAATTTCGACTGCTGTCCCTGAACTATAAAGTGGGTTTCATCTGTAAATAGGACTTTTTTCCAGTCGCCTACAGTCCAATTAGAGTATTTTTTGGCCCACAGTAGCCTTTGTTTCTTCATTCGTTCAGTTAGAAGCTGTTTTTTCTGTGGACGAATTGCCCTTCTACCATTCTCCGAAAGTTTTCTACGAACAGTTGAGTCTTGAATCACTATAGCTGATGCTGCTAGATCTTGTTGTAGGTCTTGGCTTGATTTTCTTGGGTCCAATTTGCTCTTTCGAAGTAAAAAATCTATCATCTGCTGGTGTTGTTTTTCTCTTTCTTCCACATTTTCTTAACCTTTTCACATCCACTGATCCCGTTTCTCGTTTACGCTTCAAAATTTTGCTTACTACCCCCTGATTCACTCCACATGTTCTAGCGATCTCTCTTTGTGACATCCTAGTGTGTTCACTCAACGTGACAATCTTTTCACGCTTCCTAGGCGTAATATCCATGATGGAATAAAACCAAAAACAACACAAAATAGTACAAAAACCCCCAAAACAACACAAGGTTGGTAAGAAATTACCTAAAACACACTCAAACACACCAACACACAGTAAGGTTATGTTTTCAATGCTTGGTCAGCTGTCAACTGTGTAGGTAGTGTTGGCAACTGTGAATATTGAAAAAATGAAAAAAAAATTCAAAGTGATTCCATTAATTCGCACAATACTGTAGCATATAACGATAAGACTACCAAAGAGAATTGAAATACTATTATAAAAATAATACCTTAATCAACCATGGGAGCTTATCGTCTATGCTTCGCCTAGATC